TTCTTAAGGCTTTGTGGGCCGTATCCAACAATTTTACAACAGCTACTACAGAAAATCTCCTCCTCCTCCTTGTCATATTGTAAATCTCAACTGTTAGGCTTTAATTTTACATCAGAGAGAATACTGTACTGTTGGAGCCATTTGACACTTACATGATATTGCACATTGTTCTCACTTCTGTTGTGTACTGTAACTCTGTCTCTATTCCAGGTTTTCTGTGACTACCATGGGCACTCTAGAAAGAAGAATGTCTTTCTGTATGGCTGCAGCGTTAAGGAAACTCTCTGGCAGTCTGGCTCTACCGTTGACACCGTAGGATTGAAAGAGGACCCTGGATATAGGGTAAGATGCAAACTACACACAGAGTCAAGGCGACCATAGAGGGCTCGGTTAAAATGCCGCCTGGTCCTCTTTTTATGTCCCAGTGAGGGCCTTGCAAACGTCTAGTTTAGGTTCTGAAATCACAGAAACCACTGTTTGCTATTGTTTCCGCTGTGGATTGTCAAGGTCTTTCTTTCTACCAATCTCTGTCTTTCTCCAGACCATTCCAAAGACACTGGATCGCATTGCACCAGCCTTTTCTTTCAACAGCTGCAACTATTTGGTAATAGTTACAATAATTCAAATAATGATAACACTACTTTTCATGATCAAAGCTATAACGTACAATCGTGAGCTTCCTTATCATTTTGTTTTTGCTGTATATCATTTTCCTCTTTCTCTCATGTACATGTATCATCTATATTGTGTTTGTCCTTATCTTCACTCTCATTATTAACATGAATATTATACTTATCATTATCACCACTACCACCATCTTAGTCACCACCATCATCATCACCATGATCACCATCCTCATTGTAATATTTTACAGTCGTCCTAAAATGTATTCATACCCTCCCATTAAAGAAGAAGAAAAACAGCTGTCACTGAAATAAGTTGAAATTAACAATAATAATACAATTTTTATGAAAATCATTACATTGCTTTTGAATTGTAGTTCAACAGAAATATTTTACAAACAAACAAAACAAACAAACAAATATATAAATAAATAAACAAGCATGATGGGACCTGTGACCTAATATTCTGTTGAACAACCCTTTGAGCCAATCACTGCAATCAAGTGTTTTCTCTCAATCGGACTTCTGCACCTGTTGACAGGTATTTTGATTTTTGCCCACTGCTCATCAGCAAAGTGCTCTAATTTGTCCGGGACAGTTTTGTTTGTTTTATTATTCTTTTCAACCATAAATCAAAACCAGTATCGTATGTCACGAAATTAGAATTTAGCAAATTTTTATTTATTATTACTTTTTTCAGTTTCTAGTTATTTGAGTGACTATTATGAATTTTCCCTTTTCTTTAATGGAAGGGTAGAAATACAGTTAAGGACGACTGTATGAAGTTGTATAGAGTGTTTAAAGTAAAGCCAGCTTCATTTGCCTGTATTTATTTGCAGTAGCATCACAAAAAATTGTAATAGCTGCCTCCGTGTTGCACTCAAAATTAAATTCTGATTTTACCTTGTTAGGTTGAGAAGTCTCGGTCCGCCACCGCCAGGGTGGTTGTCTGGAGAGAAATGGGTGTGCTGAGAAGTTACACCATGGAGAGTACCTACAATGGTTGCGACCAGGGAATATACAAGGTGTGTGCATACATATGTGACGGTGTAAAATAGGCCCAAAGATGCATTGTGTATAGAGGCAGTTATGTTTTTTCTTGCCTCCAGTTTTTCTGTAGTGAACGAGTGGTACGGGGAATTACTTTGTAGCTGTTTGAGCAGGTCTACACAGCTTGGCTGGGTTTGGTGAGCCTTATTTAGTGTGTTAGAAATATTTCCAAAATATAGTAGATCATGTGAGCAATACATTTCTAACTTCTTTCTTAATTAAAAGCTGCACAAAACATCAGTGTCTATAGCATGATATCATATGGGAAAAGGATCATCGAATCTGTAGTCTGGGATGTGTTGATTCCAGAATCCATCCATCCATCCATTTTCTATACAATGCTTAATCCTCACTAGGGTCGCGGGGGGCTGGAGCCCATCCCAGCCGACTTAGGGCGAAGGCAGGGGACACCCTGGACAGGTCACCAGTCCATCGCAGGGCTACACTTAGAGACAGACAACCAAGCACACTCACATTCACACCTACGGACAATTTAGAATGATTCCAGAATCCATTTCAGTTTACCTTTAGAGCAGATAGAGATGCTTTAAATAGCACAAACATACACCTGAATCTGTTATCTCCGCATCAGAAATGCACCTGGAGTAGTAATCAAAGCACTCTTTCAATTTTGCTGGAGTTTTATTTCCTCCAGAACTGTGTCTGTAAGTGCTACAAGAGTGACTGTTCTCACATCCGCTGTGTACCACTGTCTGCTGTTTGGTGCCAAACTGTGGTTTTCATGATGGAAAAGGCAGTATACTGGCAGTTGAAGAGAGCAGTTTAGATGCTACGGTAACATAAAAGTAATGTTCAACTTTATGTAGAGCTGAGCAGTCACATGATTACTTGGTATGGCTTTTATATGACTATTTTTTCAAAGATATCATCGTTAATAATGAAGGCTTTTTATGTCCATTTACCCATCCTTCCACTAGCTACGCTCCCTTTTATCCTCTATCTGGTCACAAGGGGCTAGAGGATGGAGTTTCTTTCCCATCATTGATTAAGAGTGTGGTCTTTAAATTTGAAAGCATTATTTCTTCATTTGTCGTTCATATTGTTACGTTCCTGCTGACAAGATGCAAACAGTAAGTTAACACTGTCCATCAATTAAGGAAGAACTCACAGGCAGGATGGATGGCAGGGAAGAAAAAAAAAAAGCATTTATTTACAAGTTTTTGAATTAATGAATAAACAACAAAATGAAGGTTTCAGAAATGTGGGGGAAGGGTCAACTGTGGGGTTGTGCCAAATAAGAGAAATAAAATATAACAAAACAGGGCCTAACTCAGATCTTTATGTAAAGAAAGAAAAGGAAATCAAAAGGCCTGGCTATCTTATTTACTAATGATGGAAAAACAAAACTTACAGTGGTGGCATCAACCCATAACCTAGTGCAGTAACAAAAGTGAACTACATGTGTAAGTGTACAGGGTAACCAATCTTCCCTCAGTTGTTAACCTTCCCACCACAAACTGTCCAAGCTGACAACAGCATTCAAATAACAGCAAAGCAAGAGGAAGAGAGAAAACAAAGGAGCAAGGGAGCTTTTAAAGGAGTTTCCTCTGTCCCGATTGGATAACTGGCCAGAGTGTGAGCCAATCATCTGCTCTTCAGGAGCTCACAGGTGGCAGAAGCGGGAACACACAGGTGGAAGCCAATCTTCTAATTCTCACCTGCAGGAGAGAGGTGGACACACACACAAATCTTCCACTCTGCACGTAACAATGTTTTGTAATGTGCTTTAAAAAGAGACCTAACTTTCCCTGGTCACTAGGTGGCAGTGTGGTTCCATGGTAAACTACGCATTGAAGGATGTCTCTTAACTAAATGATCCTATATCATAAGAAAACAATTTTCATGGCATCTTTAGCTGAATAATATAATTTGGGTTATACAACTAATTAAATTTAAATTGACAGATGTGCTTAAAGAAAGTGTTTCTTACAAATATATTTGATCTATGCACACCACCCAACAGGCCTGAGCGCCCAAAGAGGCAGAGAGCAGAGAGGGGAAGGTGTGTGTTGGATGGATAAATGCAAATGTGTGTGTAAAAAAAAAAAAGACAATGAGAGAGAGAGAGAGACTAAATGTCATTATATGTTTTAATTCTGATGGCTTCTTTTGTGCTGGTATAAACTGTCCTTTGGTGTATTAAATGAAATATGAATCTATTGCTGTATACAGTATGCAACACACATTCCTAAATCAGCACACTCCCACCTCTGTGCCTCACTGTCAGGACTATGAATTCTCTTTGGTGTCTTGGCCACGTGAACTGATGGCAGACTTTCAAATAAGTCATGACTTGTTATGCTACTTTCATATGCAAAATACCCAAAATATCATTACTATAAAACAACTATGTACAGTTCATTTGCAGAACTTATGCATACAAAAAGAAATGGTAGCTACCTAAAACCTCAGCGGTCAGATCTACTAAAACAGCCAGCGGTCTCCAACCTTTTTTGCTCTATGGACCGGTTTCAAGCAAAACTATTTTCTACGGACTGGTCATTGCACACATAACAAATAATAATCATTTTTCCCACTGAAAAAGTGTTATAAATGAATGAAATTACTTTTTATTGCTAAATGTGTATTTGCTTTTTCTTCTGTCTCAGCATCGAGTCGTTCCTTCTTTTTAAAGAAGCTCTCCAGAGAAGTTTGTTTTAAAATTCATTTTGGCAGCAGTTTCATTGACAGCTTCAATTAATGGTCAGGCTTAAAAACTGACAGTCAAGTGCGGGAAATAAGCACAGACGGAAGTGACAGAAAGACGGATAATTCATTTTTCAAAATAAAACACCCTGCAGAGTCTTCCAGAAATAATATATATATATATGTATTTAAATGTTTTATTCTTTCTGTGTGGCCAAATGACCCACAGCTTGATACTGATGATTGGGGACTGCTGTGCTAAAATAGAATTCATTTGTATAGGAAATATAACAGTACCATAAAGTAATAGCACTAGAGAGCAGTTGCCCTGACAGCAATAACAGAAGCAGCACAAAGAAAAGTTCTCCTCCCCCGTATCCATCAGTGTGTGTTCTGGAGCTTTCAGCAGCATCTTCCTTCCATCTTGAATGACTGACTATTTGGTAATGTTTTGCAACAGACACATTATCCATTCATCCATTATCTATACACCGCTTAATCCTTACTAGGGTTGCGTGGGGGCTGGAGCCTATCCCAGCTGACTTAGGGCGAAGGCAGGGGACACCCTGGACAGGTCACCTGACACATTATGAGAAAACAAATGTTCAGCATGAGAAATTTCTAGAAAGACAGACATCTACCATTTTTTTAAGAAGTGCTGAAAATTTAATTTAGCTAGCTGCATGTCATTTGAATGGCAAAGGACATTTAAGTAGTGCTTCCTAATAATATTAACTAAAAACTATTATTGCTCCTAAATACGACGTTCTTCACTCGACTCTAGTTATCAGAAGAAAATCAGACAGTGACAGTGAGTCCGTGAATGTCTTTACATCTGTGCATAAGATTCTCGTCTGATTATAAATAACTGCCGTTCTTTGCGTACGTGTGCAGGGCCTGCAGACAGGAACCAGAGAGCTCCAGGAAATGGGTGTGAAGTTCTGCCACAGTCTGTTGTCGGTAACCAAAGACATGAAGCTTCTTTACAGCAGGAGACTCATCAACCACATTGACCTGGACCACAACATTCTGGACCACAAGTCTCACAAGTAAGTCACCATCCTAGCAACACTTCTGACATTACATTTTTATCTAAAAGCCCTCATAGGGGTAGAAAAAAAATGGTTCATACTCCCAAGTGAAGACACTGTCCCAAGCCCAAGTGATCAAAAAAGTTTAGTGTGAATCAAAAAAAAATATGCCATCAAGGATCAGGTAATCCCTCTGATTGGATTGCACGGAGCAGGTACAAACTGCTCTAAGTGAGACTACACACTACCTGTGGCACTTACAGGTAAACAGTCAACACTTCAAGTGGTTTTATTTGAAGAGGCACAATAAAACAATACAAGCAATCTGTATAGGATGCTGTATATACAGTACTGTGCAAAGGAGTTTGGCACTTTAGATGTGTATACTCCTATTCACAACAACATGCCATCATGAAGGCATCTAATTGTGCTAAAATCTTTCTGCTGGAGTCATTCTGAAAACACAGCAAAACTGTGTGCAGGTACACCCAGGTGAACTGGTTCTGTTTTAAAGGGTGCTCACACCACATGTGATTTAATTAGTTTTTTTGTCCTTACTGCTTTTTGGTATGAATAAAAATGATTCACGTTTGTTCTTTTTTATTATTATTCTTTCGGTGCCAAACCCTTTTGTATTGTACTGTGCAGTATATTTTAAACATAAATATCCAACAATTTTGTTTCACTAATTATTACACATTCTGATTGTCCTTTATCATTTTGTTTGACTACTTTTTTCCTTGCTAATCCATTCCTAAAAGGTATAGCAAGTTTGTTGTGATACCAGGGGGCTGGTACCATATGAGTGATTCTATCAACAACAAAATAAGTTCAAATCATTTTTTTTAAATCACTGAAAGCTCTTCTAAAGGAGAGAGTGCTGCGACCCACAAATACTGTGACAGAAGTATCATCTTCACACATTATTGTGTGTGTGTGTGTGTGTGTGTGTGTGTACACAAAATATAAACACTGGTGGTATGCAGTACTGCAGTGATTAATGTGGAGCTCCAAAGTAAAGCTGAATGACTTCCATGATTTTTAGACACCCATTCAATCTGCGTAGTGAGTTCTGACAGCATGATGTGTAAGGAGGTCTCTTGCATCTAACTCTTCGTAGTTCAGTTTTTTCATTTTTATTAATGTCTCTTTATGCTTTTATTCGCATATACTGTCTGCCTTCTTTTCAACCCTTTCTTCTCTTTTTCCTGTCCTTTTTTTTTTTTCTTTGTTCCATTCTGTCACTCTACCACTTTTCCATTTCTGTATACCTTTGCCTTTGTAAGCATGTTTCTAATGTCTGTCGTTCGTTTACTTTCTCTTTTTTTAGTATGGTTCTTCTCTTTCTTTTGTCTTGTCACCCATTACTTTCTCTTGCTGTGCTGCATGCTTGTCAAAAAAAGCGAAGCAGTCTTAATTATAAAAATGAGGATGAACACAGATCTTTTGCTGATCTCTTGTCTTGTCTGGATAATTAAATGCGACATGTGCAGCATTTTAAACAAAAGTTCACTAATCAAATCCAAAACTTCCAACACCAAGATGAAATGTACAATAACCAACATATATTAACCTAAGCTCTTAAAACAAATAAGAAGATAAGAATGCTGTACCATCCTTAGCCCCTATAATTTGCTGGACAGTCCTCACCATGTGGTTTAGGTTCTTCCATTCTGCAGCTGTGCAGCTTGCATACCACACAGTCAGACTGTAGGTGATACTGTGGAAATTGTCACATAATTGATTTAAAACAGCTTTTTAAAGATTTTAGAAGTAAAAGGGAGGTTGGACATAGGTTTGTATTTCTAAACACATGGATCAAGAGTAGCTTTTGCACAGGCTTAATTATAGAATTCTGGTGACTTCAAAAGCTTGTAGTATATGGCCTTAATAAAGATAGGCTGGTCAGACCTGTGGCTGCAAAGTGGCGCAGTTGGTTAGCACTGTTGCCTCGCAGCAAGAAGGTTGCCGGTTCGCATCCCGGTGGGGGCACTGGGATCTTTCTGTGTGGAGTTTGCATGTTCTCCCCGTGCAGCGTGGGTTCTCTCCGGGTTCTCCAGCTTCCTCCCACACAGTCCAAAAATATCCATCCATTTTCTATACACCCTGTCGCGGGGGCTGGAGCCTATCCCAGCCGACATAAACCTCAACATGTTTTGGACTGTGTGGGAGGAAGCTGGAGAACCCGGAGAGAACCCACGCTGCACGGGGAGAACATGCAAACTCCACACAGAAAGATTCCGGTGCCCCCACCGGGATGCGAACTGGCAACCTTCTTGCTGCGAGGCAACAGTGCTAACCAACTGCGCCACCCTGCAGCCCAGTCCAAAAACATGTTGAGGTTAATTGGTGATTCTAAATTGTCCGTAGGTGTGAATGTGAGTGTGCTTGGTTGTCTGTCTCTAAGTGTGGCCCTGTGATAGACTGGTGACCTGTCCAGGGTGTCCCCTGCCTTCACCCTAAGTCAGCTGGGATAGACTCCAGCCCCCCCGCAACCCTGATGAGGATTAAGCGGTGTATAGATAATGGATGGATGGTCAGACCTGTTACTTTAGGGTAAAACATCCTGAAGCAATGTAGTTAAGACATAGCCTAAAAGATTTGTTGATGGTTTAGATGAGGAAATTGTTGAAGTTAGCTTAGAGACCTTCATAGAAAAGCAGTAGTCTAACTCTGAACGAGGTCTTAAATACATTTCTGAAGCTACTGTACTTAACAAACCACCAGTAACAGAAACCTCTTGTCTCTACTGGGAGTTTTTTCTGGTTAAAAATGAGTCTTTTATCAAACACTGTCGCCAAGTGCTCCTCAAAGAGAATTGTTGAGTTTCTCACTACATAATTTCAAGATCATTGCATGAGGTCTTGATCTTACTATGTGAAGTACCCTGAGATGACGGAGATTGTGAATTGGCACTTTATGATTAAAACTGAACTGACCGTTGTAGAAAGGATGTGACATATTTTCTATAATAGAAACAATTGTGTTTGTAAAGGACGTCATCACTACTGAGAGCTGGTGGAATACAAGGCTCAAGAGAGCTGTCACTCATTGTCTATTAATGATGAATATGTGTGGTTCTGACATTACTGTTGCTGCTATACGTTGCACTTTCGTAGGACAAGCAAATAGATGGACAAACTGTCAGTCCTTATCCATGACATCATCATCAGTCAGGTATCATCAATGCTTTATCAGTGGGATCAACCAATCACAACTTCCCATTATATGCCTTTGAACTGTCAGTCTACTCAATGGAAGCAAGAAGCAGTATAACAATGTTGGGACAAGGAATCATAAGATGAAAGTGTAGGAGCTTCTGTTTTTATTATTTCATTTTGTTGTTGGGATGGGATTTAATAGAGTTATTACGTTATTATCAGCTTGAAAATGTTCTACTCTTTTACTGACTAATGGCACAACAGCATGACTTTTGGAGGCAAGGAATTCATAATCTCCAACACTGAAGAGCCACGAACCCAATGTTGTAATGTTTACCCCTAAGGAGTTGTTATTGCATCCCAAAATGACAAAGGAGTTCAACTTGCCCTGTAACAGTATTGTGTTGCTTTGCAATAAACTGTAGTAAAACTGCTCGACATCATGTCAGAAGCTGTTTTAATGAATTTAGAATTATCCATCCATCTACACCACTTAATCCTCACTGGAGTCGTGGGGGGCTGGAGTCTATCCCAGATGACTCAGGGTGAAGTCAGGAGACACCCTGGACAGGTCACCAGTCTATCACAGGGCTACACTTAGAGACAGACAACCAAGCACACTCACATTCACACCTACAGACAATATAAAATCATCAATTAACTTCAGCTTGTTTTTGGACTGTGGGAGGACTGTAGGATGTAGAAACTTCATTGAAAGTCTTCCAGTTTTCGTGGTTATCACATGGGGGACAATATTGTTAAGCTGTGTCCCCACTCCCAACGCATTGGGGGATAGCAGGATTTTTACAAAATAACTAGTTAGATCTTTCTATGATAGATTCATATCCATACATTTAGCCATCTGTCCGTCTCTCACCTAACCGTCCACCATGTGGGCCAAGATCGATACCTAGATAGAAAGATATGCATGCATACTATCTGTCTCATCATCTCTATCCATCCGTGATAGAAGATCAATAAATAGGTGTGTGTGGAGATCAGTTTCTTTCAGTCTATATGATGGATGGATAGGAAATTCATTTTTTGTGTACAAAGTAGGTAGCACATGAAAACAACATGTTTACAACAAATTAATGGCCCACATCTGCCCAGCCTTATTTGGGCTTTTCTGCGACTGAGCTGAAGGGATGTATGGGAGCCAGGTGATACTGTCAAGGTGTAGGTTTTTTGTTGTGGACTTCTTGTTAATCCTTGTGTTGTTTCCTGCTTTATTTTGCAAGCATCATGTTCCTCATGTATCTATGTTTACTTCATGTCCTCTCTGTTCCTACTGTTGTGAGTGTCTGGTCTGTTTGGATTGTTCAGGCTGTGACTTTCAGCCTTCTCACGTTATGCCTTGTTGACTCTTTGAACCTTTGATTTAGTTTGGCTTAAGTCTAAGTTCCCATAGGCTGAACTTGTTCTCTGCATTTTGTTGCCTGCTTGGACTTTTCCTTTATGCTTTTTTTTTTGTTGTTGTTTGTTTTCTTTTTCGTTATCAGCTTGCAAGTAAATCTAATTTGTAGTTCTAGAAGGTTGCCACCTGTGTCCTTTGTCCTTGAACAGAACACACACAACATCAACTCAGACAGGGTTTTTGAAAATGCTGATATCACTGCTTCGATGACCAATCCGATATATCTGAGTGTAAACAAAGCTGCTCTTTAGGAATTCCACGCTGGTCCTTCAAACAATCAGCGTTTGCACTGTATGGCGACATACTGTAGACAAGCTGCACCAACACAGCACACACAATGAGTAGCTGTCATCAGTATGCAAGACGCCAGATGTACTCTCCC